TTCTACACCAAAGTGGAGGAGAGTCCTCTCCTGTCAGACTGAGAGGATCTTATAACGTCAGCTCAGTGAGGTAAGGACTCTCTCAGTGTTTAGATAGTTCACTTTAGTGTAAGTTATCTCAGTGGGTCTCAAACGGTTTGGTGACCATTTATGTAAACAAGTATTTGCGAGGAATAGGCTACCTTTATATGATCATTATAGTTATTAAAGAATAAGAGAATAAATGAAAAACGGGTATGAAATACTATAGAACAGTAACACAAGAATACAGTTTAAAAGGGGAGTGATTAGTAACATATCCATAAAGAAAAAGTAAATCTGTTTACAGTTCTGTTTCATATGGATGTTGAGAGATGTATCCATAGATCTCTTCATTTTGCTCTCAAAGTGCACCAGATTGATGCTTTTAACTTCAATATTTTAAAAATAATCTTCCCGGGGGAGCATGCCCCCAGACCCTCCTAGAGGACGTTAGGTCCACCCCCCACCTAAAACATGTTCACATGGATAGGATACTAAATACATTTGCACACTTTTCATATGGTGGCCTATGTCCATATGTTTCTGTTTTGGTAATCGTGCCACAACCGTGCATGCACAGGTCATAGGTGCGCTATAAAATAGCACTACACCCCTGCAATGTGTGTGAGAGACAATAGCTTTACAGCATGTTTTTTTAAATTGAAGTTGCGTTGGTGTTTGTGTGTTGGTTGTTGACGGCAGTGTGTGCCCCCCCTTGGTAAATTATTGCCCCCCCATTTGATTTGTTCTAGAGCCAACCCTGCTTACAGCGCCCATCGTATAGGGCAAATGAAACGTGTAACCGGGGTGAAAAGGGTGTTACATTTACTTAATTATGAATATTGTTACATCAAGGCCGAAAATTAGGATGAGCCCCAACGGTCAAAATGTTTTTTTCCCTCCCAGAACTGCCAGCGCAGCGACTCCCCAGATCTGGCGCCCAAGGCGAACATCTAGCCAGCGCTACGGGCCGGCCCTGAGTTCATATCATGGTTCATATGCAACTCGCAAATATCTTTCTTTCTCTCTCTCTCCTCTATTTTCTCTTCTCCCTTCTCTCTCTCCCTCTCTCCCTCTCTCAATGTTGGTACGCAAATGCGCTTTGTTTCAAATGACCCGGTGCTCTTTTTTTGGCGGAGGTGCGCATGCGCACCTGCGCACCAGTTATGTGCAGCCCTGCCTAGTCCTCAAGCTCTGTGATTGGAGAGTGTGCTCCGAGGGTTACGCCGAGCCTCGAACAGCACTTGAAATGGGATGGAACCACGGCAGACTGTCCAAAACTGGATTTGAACGGGTCCACCGTGTCCCCCCCTCCCCCACCCCGTCCCCAGAACTACACATGCTGGCTATTCTGTTTCGCAACATGTTCTCTATCTATGGCACGTCTCTACAGGGAGTTGTAGTTTTAAAAGACGTTTTCGTATTTCCCATAATAAGAAGTTGCCAGTATTAAACTGTGTACATCCCTGGATGTTTAGGGGATAGGAAACACTCACATTTAAAACATATAATTAATAAATGGGTGAAAATTGCTTGTGCCCATAATGGGCAGCATTAATATATACATACATGCCAGCTAAGGTCAGAAGAGCTTTATTTAACAGCTGGTCTTATGTTTGTGACCCCTGTTGTTAATTGATAACATTACATTACATTACATTACATTACATGAATTGATAAGCCTGAAACATGCACTTGTCAAGGTTCAGAGGCAAATTTCGCAAATATGGCAGTAGCCATCGATCAGCTTAAGATAAGATATACTTTATTGATCCCAAGTTGGAACATTTGCGTTACATCAGCATGTGTAACAGTTGTAAATATGCAGTGGTGTTTATTTGTAAATCATTTAGTATAATCACACAAATTCTGTGTTTTATATTTAACAATTCTGTTTTCTTTATTTATTGATTGTTCAATACCTGACAAGGCCGGAGATGAAATATCTACATACATCTTATAAGAGTATAATACATTATGTATAATATCAGTTAAAATAAGTGCTTCAACATAGTTAACATTGCTGGAGGTATGCACAAATATTGATAGATGTCTTGTAATGCACTATTGAGGAATCTGCGACCCAAGTTTTTCATTCAATGCATAACTACACCATAGTTGGGTAGGCCTATATGATATGTCAATAAACCTTAGAAAATCTTGAAATCTTGAACGGGATGTGCAAAATAGTCATTATATACAGTCTTTAATTAACTATTAGTAGAGAATAACGAGTAATGAATATACTTTATAGGGATCCTATTAATATCTAATAATAAAAATAATGAAATTCAATAACATGCTTTAACCACTAGGTGTCCCTTTATATCAGCTGTGCACCTTTATGGTGTAAATACAACCTATCTACCAATTGGATCAAATATACAAGTCAGCCGAATTAGTGTTGATACTGCAAGGAGACGTATTGTGTGAAAATAAATGTAAGATGTTGTTTAACTGCTGATATATTTATGATTCACGTCACGTTTTCAGTTCCTCATGTTTGTCTAGAAGTCTTCTCATCAGGGCTCTATAAATACAGAACTACGGCAGATATGTAATATTTAATGCAGCCGAACCGTGTATTACAATGCCGTTTTGTGATGACTTTCAAAGAGAAAAGCAAGCACACTCGGAATAAAGTATTATTTTTTTTTTTTTAAATGTTTTCGGTCTGTTTCCGTTATTTGTTAATGACGATGTGCTGTGAGATGTGAGACTGGAATTGCACAGGGGAAAATAACGTAGGCTATCTTTAGATGCGGATTTTGTTAAACTAATATGTTTGCGCTGTGGACCAACACTATACATTGAAGGGGAAGGGGGTAGCAATAAAGATAACACCATTAAACAGTTACACAACATAACAGAAATAATATCGATAGCAGCGTCCCTAGCAACCACCTTGGTAACAATGAAAACGTTCTATGGACGCAATTTCCTGAAGTAATCTTCGTAATAACTAGCAAACTAAAGATCATGTACATCCACTGCACACATAATCTGAAATAACAATTCATATTTCTCGCATCAAAGGACATCAAACTAACTTTAAATAGACATTTTCCACCGAGAATAAAACGAATATCGGCCATGTTTTTTTTTTCTGCAGGGAGAAATTTGAAGATCACGTGACATAGACGCCAGCCATTGGAATGAATGGTGAAAAAAAACGGGGTTTGTCAAACAGAGCACATGGTGTAGTCCAAACGATAGCTGGGGATTCTGGGTAGTGTAGTGTCTTCTGCCATCCTTTACTCCGAAAAAATATTTGTTTCTCCGAATCGAAGGGGAAAAATACAAAAGCATTGCACACAATTTAAACCAATCAATGTTGTGTAATTAACAAGGATAATCTGGTGTTTTTTAGTCGATGAGTAGTGCATATATCACTGTAAAATCAATCGACAGTAAGGGGAATACTTACTTCCGGGTGTACAATTCTCCGTTATCCAATGAGAATGGACGCTCACATTGCCTTTAACGGCAGCCGACACAAACGAATGCCGTGCTTCCATGAGCGTCATTACCAGTAGAAATACATTGCTTTTAAAATCGTGCTGTGCAACACGAAAAAAAGGGGAATAACGTGTTGGTGAACACGAATCAATAGATTAAAAATCGTGTTGGTGAACACGAAATGCCATGAGACTGGGTTGTACATTCACTGCTTTGACTTATTCTTGTCTGATTCTCTGCTTCTGCTGCAATAACCCAGTTTCCCCATAGGGATCGTTAAATTATCTTCTAATTTAGGATTTACGAACAAGTAAACTAATGACAAGGGAATACTGATATTGTGGCTGTTAGCGGCTGCTATGCTCAAATAAATCAGACTTATTGCAGACAAGCTACAATTAAACTAACAGAAATAAGATTTTAGTGAACTCAATCCCCTCAGTGGTTCAAGTGATTCCCAGAGAATATTACAACACTATAATTGTAATATACCATCAAGGTAGACAATAATGTGCCCATTGAAACAAAGATACGTTTTTAATTAAAGCCTTGTGTGTGATTATGGAACAGTAACTACCATTCACTAATTTGCTAATTATGAAGTTCTTAACTTTCATTGATGCTACAATATACAACCTGCTATATTTCAATAGAAATGTTGGCAGTTTTTGACAACTACATTTATCACTTTTCAGATACCAAACATATGATTACCTTGTAAAATATCATGTTCTATAGCAGATTAAGCTATTTAACATATAAAATACACTGACACATCTAAAACGTGAACTTTAATTGAAAGTTGAACGTATTTAAACTTGATATTATTGCTTTCAACTAACCTAATACAGTTACAGTACAGTGAAATCTGTTCACATAATATATTTAATTAAAGTCCACGTTTCTTCTATTGAAAATGTGCTCCACCTTAAATAACAACAACATTTAATGCTGCTTATGTGTCGATAATGATATTCAAAATACCTCACTTATTATATAACATTAACAATAAAGCACTGAGAAATGTTATTTAGTTAGTCAAGTAAGTTATATAAAAATATACTTCCTTTTTATTTGTGACTCAACATTTTCTACAAGGTGGTCAACATTTTCATGGCAGTATTCTGCTTAGAGCGTCATTTGTTTATTTCTGGCAACTTAGGGGCAGCAGAACAAACTATAAACATAATGTTGACATGTTTACCTTCCTGATCTTGGTCACCATTGGCTGACAACGATTAGCCTCTGGGGACAAGGGCCATCTTTTTATAGGGTGCTGGTATAGACAGCAACAATTTAGGCCTTTTTGTTTGGTGCGCCTGTCAATGTTTACAGAAGATTCAATAATCAAGACAACTCAAAATATACACTTATCAATTATTGATGTGTTGCTGTTTGTCAAATAGTTGCTTACATGTCACCAAATCACTTAATGTTAATGTTGAGGATTAATTGATTAACGATTTCCATACATAATTTTGAACCCATCTTTAATGCTATTTATATCTTCTATTTTCAAGGAACTGTGATCAGGAGAAAGCCCTCCACAAGTGAACAACACTGACTATCTGATACCTGGTAATCAAATAAGGAGCCACAATGTGAGTTTTATTTTTATTTGTTCCTATAGAATTAGAAATATGATATAATGATGGTTGTCCTTACTTTTTTTCGATTAATTAAATGAATTAATAGGTTCATAAAAATGACAATACACTACAACAGTTACAGTTTACGACATCTCATTGACTACTCATCACTTATTCTGAAAAGAGCAACACTTTGGATGATATAATGACTCGCTGACAGGGATGCACCTCTGTCTTTATCACAATATGTACATGTGTTTGACAAGATATACATGTTATGACATTTTTGCTCTGCAGGGCTCCTGTTGATGATGTTGTGGCATGGGGAGAGTCACTCGACCAACTCCTGGAGTGTAAAAGTAAGCTCACTTGTGAATTTATTGCTCTCATTCTTATGTCAAAATGTCGCTCTCAATTCTCCATCCTCTTTTCCCCACTCGCAAAACTCCGCTGCTCAACGCCGCGTATCATCTTCAATTGCCCTGGGGCTTCTTTCAGAGGATCGAGGATATATTCTGCCTTCAAGTTCATCAAATCCAATTGGAGATATATTTAAGGAGAAGGACACTGGCAGAGATAAGAGACCTAATCTGAGCTGGCAGGGTAGATAGGGTGATTCCAGCCAGCTCTTATTCATTTATAAAGCTGGCACTCACTGATGGCTTTCACCTGTCCACATTCCCGGCCTCTATTTGAGAATGACTAAAGGGGTAGATGGGTTATTTCTCTCTCTGCCGTCTCTCCTCTCTCATTACTTTCCTGAAATGAATTCATCTGATCTGTAATATCTCAGCCTGTTGTCTCCTGCGTGAAGATGAACTGTCCTTCTGAAGATACATTTTTCCTTCCTGCGTAGTTGCTCCATTTCCCTTTAGAAGAAACGCAGCGACACATATGACAAATTGGTAAACAATATAAAGAAATAAATAGCATGGCAGTTGCAAATTGATGGCATTCATACACCTTTACATCTCGAGTTATTGTAAAGAGTGGACTGTGTTATGATTGAAAGCTCAGATCTGGGCCAGGAGTGATTTATAGATGGAAACAAGCGGCCCCTGGACATATTTTGTTTCCTGTCAATTACTGTCAGAGCACCAGGAGGGATTTATGTAAAGCAGTTGTGTGTGTATAACACTGGTGATCCCAGTTAGCTGTTTGTTTGTGCTCCCAGAAGACATGCTAAGTATTTTACACCTGCGTTAAAATCACGTCTCAATGAAAACTCCCGTAAAAAAATGACACAATTGATGATAAAAAGAAAAATATGTGTGCGCAATTATATGATGCAGAGGCAGTGCACTTAGGGATGCAGGGTTCGGTTTTGAAGTTAAAAGCGCCTCCAGACATCCATCACAATACCTGGCAGTTTGCTGCACCGTCTGTTTGTCTACCGACTTCATGGAGCTAACAAGGATAACATTGTGACGAGAGAATGGCTCAACCTTAAGCTAAGACTTTCTCCTAAAACATACATTTAGTTTAGTTTACATCTATTTTCACCTGATTTGACCTCCTCTATGCGCCCATGTGTGGTTGTATTTATGTGGTGAGAAGAACATGAAAAAGACAGTTTTCAGTAATCAAGGTTTTCTTGAAACAAGAACAAAACCAGGAATCTTACAGAGAGGAGACAAAATGTAAAATAAAAAAATATTATATATTAGTTGAATACAAGTGTTGAGCATGGATGTTCTTTAAGCTCTTGGATCAGTTTGTCTGATAACTCAACTTTTTTAATCTTTCAGCCACATGTTATGGTCTTCATCATTGATGAATAATGATACAGGTGTTACATGATTACTTGACTCAGTTCCATTTGCTGATAGACTTTGAAGTGTCATTGCATTTTATATGTGAGGTCACACAAATCTATTAAAGGTGGGGTAGGTAATTTTGGAGAAACCAGCTCGAGTGCTCTAGAATTTGAAAATACACAGCCGGAAAAAATCGGCCACTTCCTTACAGAGCCCCTCCTCCAACACACACGAACGCGCACATGACCAATGAGGGCACGGAATGAGTTTGTGCACAGATGGAAGTCTGACAGGCAGGTAGGCCATCCAGTTATTTTAGCCGGGCCGGCTCAGATGATTGGTCGTGCTTTTTACAGTACTACAGCTTCCACAGATGACATTTTTTAATGGATTTTTTGTCAAAGCACTTAAGATATTCATTGCTATCGGGATGTTAAGAGCATTCCATGGAATATAACAAAGTGTATCTCGAGCCGGTTTCTCAAACTTATCTACCCCACCTTTAAGAAAGAGTTTTTTGCCACACAAAGTTTTATTTTCAAGAATAATTGTAAATTCTACCCGGACATTATTAATGTGGTTCTACTTGAATGTTAAAACAAAACATGGTTTGTCCAATGTAACATAATTCTTTATTTTCAACAAATGTGGAACTCACTTCTGACACCAAAATGAACTACAATAAAATATGCAACAAGCATATAATGCAAAGCAATATTCTGCTCACCAGGTCATCGTCCTCACGGTTTGACAGACGTCTCGTAGATGTCATCATCGTTACAGTTCAGTAGATGTTAGACATTTCTCTGACAGCTGCCTCAGGCTCTCAATGTACCAGCGTCTGTTGCACTAGAACATTTTCTGATCTGATATATGCATGACTGTCACGTCCTAACTTGACCACGTTGCATTTTAATGAATTTAACTTCATGTCAAACAATTACCTCTTTATTTATTTGACTGTCAATGCTTTACATGTTCCTGGTCATCTCACACCAACACACAGTTGTACTTTTCTGCTGATTTCAATGCATTCCTCTTGGCGACATTTTTGCAAATGAAACTTGCCCACCAATGGAGCAGGAAGCTTTATGTTAACGACAATTATGCAAATGAGGAAATCTCACAAACAAGTCTTCATGAACAGCTGCCGTTCATCTAACTTAAACAAGCAATAACTGAAAAGTGTACACAGTTATGAGAGTTTATTGAGCCTCACTTGGAACACTTAGGAGAAGAGTACACAAATGTTTTGGCATAAGGCCCAATCAATCAATCAATCAATCAATGTTTATTTATATAGCCCAATATCACAAATGACAAGATAATAACTCTAACTTCAAGTTCTCCATGTTTGTCTTTTTACAAAATGGAAATAATGACCACCGTTTAATACAATAGCTATGATGTGCAGAACTTGGGTAAAGATAGGGTATTATGCATTTTGGCATTTGTGAATGAACATGAATGTTATCCCAAGCTTTAGGGAAAACCTCTATGGTGCTATGGAAACCAGTTCCCCTTAGTATTTAATGGTTGTAATTACTGTATAGCTTATCTGGACCAGCTGTAATTAAAGAAAATAAAATAATGAATATGACTACCCAGGTTGTTCAATACTTATTTTGTATTCATCTTCAGTTGAATGTTTAATAATGCAACTGTCCTGGTTTCATAGTGTTTGTGCTCTTCCTCTGCAGCAGGCCAGCTGGTGTTTGAGGAATTCTTGAGGACAGAATACAGCGAGGAGAACCTTTTCTTTTGGCTGGCCTGTGAGGTTTACAGGAAAACAACCAGTCAGACAGAAATTACGACTGCTGCCAAAAGGATCTACACCGAGTTTGTCCAAGTTGATGCGCCTAGACAGGTACTGCTTTTCGTGAAAAGCGACATGAATGAAGTCAGACCTGTGTAACTCTAGATGAGCTTCCATGATGATGTCACTGCCATGCCTCCACATTTTCAGTCACATTTAATAATGCACTTTCTTTGTTTGTCAGTGCTACAACGTTTTTCTTTGTTTATTTGAAGATGCAGTTAACTGTAACATTGTATTAAAATTGATCTCCAAACAGAAAGAAGTCATGAGTGAAATAAAAGTTGCTCTTTTCTGAACACAGATAAACATTGACTGTGAGACGAGGGAAAGCATCAGGGAAAATCTCTCCCAGCCATGGCCAAATTGCTTCGACAGGGCGCAGAGACTGATATATGGTCTGATGGAAAACGACTGTTATCCTCGATTTCTAAAATCTGAAATGTACCAAGCTCTCCTGGAACAGGCTGAACAGCAATGAACGTGAAGTAACGTGAGGATAAAAGCTCGGCGGACGCCTCTCCGAATGATTGATTCTGCTCTCCAGCCGACGCATCTGTCAGAGGAAGCAGAAGTGAAAGCTGATGCAGAGCTGTCGATATGACTACTGACAGGATCTAAAAGCCAAATATGATGTAAATAATGTATTAAACAGCTCTGAAGTCAATTCATGTTTGGATGGTTCCTCTGTATTGCATAAAAAGGCCTACAGATAATAAAACGGCCCACATCAAGTTCTGAAAAATTGACATTTGTTTTGAAAGGCATGGGTCAGGGTTAAAATGTTTATAATTTGTGTGTATAAATAAGTCATTTGTACCATTAAACATTCATTTAAATCAAGAAATTCTGAATGTTTCCATGTCCATGTCATGTAACCCAGTATCTATGAATGCATTAATTGACCAATTAATTAACATGACCAATGAGGGCACAGATAAGTTTGTGCACAGATGGAAGGCTGACAGGCAGGTAGGCCATCCAGTTATTTTAGCCGGGCCGGCTAAGATAACTTGTCAAATACTTTAATAATATGTGATTTTTGTCATTTTGGTTAAGAAAAATCACTTGTATTATATTTTGGTTCACATTAGAAATATTTAATATTTAATTTTTCACAATTTATAATTGTAGACATTTTTTTTCAAAACTCATCTCTTCTCCTCTTGTCCACTCATAGCCCACCCCCCATCAATCCATGCCGGTTGATCAAGTTTGATAGTCCTGTACCCCCCACCCTAACCTTCCCTTATATTGTAAAGCGATTTTGATTCCTTGAAAAGCCCTATACAAATATAATGTATTATTATTATTATTATTATTATAATACTGACAGTTATCAGATCTTGCTGTGTAAAATAATCTTCCTGAGAGGTGTCACTTGTGATGTAGTCTGTGTGGTCTACAGTGAATGTATTCCTGACAGGATAATAATTGATAAGAATGAAAGGATCCCATAGAAAATGCATGCAGGTCATTTTTGACCCACTTATGGAAGCTTGGAATACAAAAACTACAATTTCTTAAAATTTAAATTTAAAATTTGAATGACATGATATCCAAAACATGTTTTTGAGGAATAGCTGGATTATGAAATGATAAAAAAAATGTAATTACAAGGATACTTCAAGAAAACCACCTTACCGGGTCCAAAAATACCCACTTATGCATCTACAGTAAGTACTCACATTGTTGAATAGAAAGAAAACGAGTGGTATCATCTTTCTATTTAAATCTTGGCAAGAACTGAATTGGCAGTTTTCCCAAAATGTCAAACTAATCACTCTCACTATTTTAATAGGTGGAAGCATTCCAGTTATATGTTGTTTTTATGAAAGTATTGATCAGCATCCAGTCAGACATCTTAAACCAAACATCCAGGATGACAGTATTCAAAATACTGTGAATTATGTTATTGTGACTGAGGCAAAGCCAAAATATGCGGTTTGATAAACAAACAAAAAAGGAAGCATGGTGTGTAATGCATTTATACATTCTCTCAATGGTTTGGGTAATATGGGAATCACTACTTGTATTGATGGTGTCCAAGTATCATTGTAAAGTAAAGGCAAGAAAATGGTGGGAATCTTATTACAGACATGTAACGTTATTGCATTTATTTGGCACATTTATTCTTGGACTATGCATGTCCTTGTATATGCTTTTGACCTTGTGTGTGCATGTTTCTTGCTATATTGAAATCTCCCTATGTGCATCTGCTGACTCTAGCCAGCGATTTTGCAGAGAGCTAACCCCTGGCAGTCTGATAGGAGGTGTAGCATTATCTCATTCTATTTCTGCCCCTGCCGGACTTCAGAAAGGATTTAATACTGAGGATAGGATAAGAAATGTTCGCTGGGGACAAATAAAAGTGTCAAAGTATTAGAAGTACGGAGAAAAAGGAAAGGACGGAGTTGGTAATGAGAAAAAGAAGGATTTGCAGAGAGGGGACAATGAGGAGAAGAACAAAATGAACGAGGTGAGGGTGTTAGCAGAGGCAGGAAGGGAAGGAATAACTAAAGAAGGAAGTTAAGTCAGAGCGCAAACATTGCAGGAAAGGAAGAGGGGGATTAGAGGCAGGGAGTGATTGAAGGAAGAAGCAGAAGGGGGATGGGTGGATGGACAGCGGGGAGTGATGGAGGGACTCAGCAGGTCAGCGTCATGTGAGCAGCAGAGGCTCAGATAATGCCCCAGGATTTCGGGCTCGGGGAGATGCAGGTGGCAGAGTTCACAGTGGGTGGGAGATAAAGCAGCGGAGTCTCTGCTGACGGCCACAAACTGTTATTTATTCCCGACTGGGGAGGAGAACTTAACACCGCCTCAACACATTTCCTCCTCCTGTGGCAGACTTCAAGTGCTTTAATACTGAGCTTCAAAGGTATATGAGTGATGAAACACCGATTTTTCCACCCTACTAGTAGATCAACAGTGTTATTCTTCCAGTGTTTTAACACTATTGCTATGGAGCTTTTGGTTTTTGTTAGGTTTGAGTGTAACATTTTCACAACCACCCAAATGTAGGCAATGTTTTACACATTGTTGCTATTCGTCAGATCAACAGTTGCTAAGAAGCAAGGCCACAAGGCAAGGAAGAAGATTGAAAACTAGCAGACAAAGTATGTAAAGCGTGTAGCATTAATAATTAGGGCTGTCAAGTTAACGCGTTAATAACGCGTTAACGCAAAAAAAAATTAACGCCACTAATTATTTTAACGCGATTAACGCATGTGTATTTTTTGTCCTCGGCCGCCCCGTAGTTTCAGAGCGCATCGAGTTTAAAATACCATCTACAAGCTGATGCTGACAACCCCGCTCCTGCCGCCCGCTT